AGACCCTGCAGCACCTTGCCGCTCTCCGCCTACAGTTTCTGTATGGAGACAAAACAAGAGTCACGTGGAACCTGGAAAACGTCTACCCCGTGGGTCGCCTGCGCAATCGCATCTTACAGTTTACCAAGGTGGGTGGAGCCTCGGGGTCAGGTCAAACTCTGGAGCGTCGGAGGACCAGTTTCCTCGATGGGACGCTGCGTCGCGGGCTGAAGACGGGCTCCATGAAGAAGCAGCGCATGGAGGAGGAGCAGATGCTGGAGATGTGGATAAAGGAGGAGATGTCTGCAACCAGGGCGAGCATCATGGAGAAATGGTCCCGCCTCAACGGTTTGGACCAGCACCAGGCTATGCTCAAATATATGACTATCATCAAAGAGTGGCCTGGATATGGATCCACACTGTTTGATGTTGAGGTAAGCTTAAATCTTAAACCGCATTGCTGTCAGTAATGGACCAGTCCGAGTTTTTATTCCCTGCATTATTACTTCCGATACATTAACAATGGGACCCTGTAGATGCTAAGTATTGATCGAGCGCTTTCTTTCTCTTAAAATCTAAAATTTGTTCACTTCACTATGTGAAATGATTTCTTTGAAGTTGAAAACTGAAGTGTGATTAATCGCCCTGCTACTGCTTTTCCTACATCATCATAATTAATGTTTCTCCAGCAGGAACACTGACATTGACCTGTTACATTGTTTCAGCTCGTAAAAAAAAGCCTTAACATCTGCAACTAAAACCTGAAAGTACATTTAGAAATAGAAGTGAAAGGCCTGTAAATTTAGAAATGCAAATTTCACATATTTGGACTCATGTGACGCAAAACCTTCAACCTCTGGGTGAAATTCCTTCATTTGAACCTTTCATTCAACCCCAACCTCATCTGAAGTGGACTTTTCCGTTTGATTTGTCTTCCATTACAGGAGGAGCTGTGCTTAGCTGTTTTTTTCTTAAGTTTCAAAGCCATGACATCATAGTAGTGGGATTTCTTAGCTCCAAAGATGATACTGATGCCTTTGGTTAGCTGGTGTGATTTGAATGTAACTCAGGGCCAAAACTTTATAACAATAATAGCAAAGAAACTGTATATATGTGGGTTATCATTATATCTGGCCTATACCCAGTCTGCCTAGTTCATTATCAGCCTGCAATATTAAACTGACAATTGATAATACTGTATTTTCGTGTCTTGGCAGTGCAAAGAAGGAGGATTTCCACATGATCTGTGGTTAAGTGTGAGTGCTGAGAATGTGTCCGTCTACAAACGAGGGGAGCCGAAGCCTCTGGAGACCTTTCCTTATGAACACATCATCTTCTTTGGTGCTCCACAGCCCTGCACCTACAAGATCACTGTGGATGAGAGAGAAATGTTCTTTGAAACCCCGCAGGTACACATGTTTGTCCTCTTTGTTTTCATTAGCGGGAGCTTCTTTTCCAAGAGTGATAAAACATTGTGGCGAGAACAAAAGGGCCACAGTTCCAGACAAAGAGGAGTCTGTTCCCCTTAATTTAAACATTACTTTTTTAGTGCAGCTTTTTAAAAATAAATAACTTTCATCTGTATATTGGCAGGTTGGAGAGATCACCAAGATCATGAAAGCTTACATAAACATGATTGTGAAGAAGCGCTGCAGTGTGAAGTCTGTATCCAGTTATGGAACCAGCTGGATCAGGTGATTCCGCTGGGCAGGACCACAGCACGCACTCAGCCACCGACACCTGGCAAAGGAAAGGCAACAGAGATTTTGACTTGAGCAGCGTAGCAACACGGGCAATCTCCACTCAGAAAGATTCCTTTCTGCCATGACACAATGTTGATTCTTTACTGCTTAAAGCACATGTGGGAACCATTCAAGCGATGGTGTGCCGCCGCCCTCCGTGCAGTCGCCGAAAATGTCAGCTGATCGCATTTCTCTTTACACTGGTCCTTTCTCACGTTACTTGAAAAGCTATTCAGGTATCCTTTCACGGATTTATTTTAATGTACAGGCTAATTCGCAGGAGCTCGCGTGCTCTTTCCTCCCAAATTTCATCGCAAAATCGACAGTTCAACTCTCCGATTGCCACTATAGCGCTTTTCTTCCCCATTTAGAGGTCGTAAATGTGTTGCAATGGAAAACAAACACTGACTGAACTGGCACCTTTAAAAGCGGTTATTCTGTTGAATACTGCAATCCGTTGTGATGAATGTTCCCCTAAAATGGAGTTTCCCTCAGGTTATTGTGTAAAATAACTGTCATTCTCCCAGGAAGCAGAAAGTTTAGCCTCTTCACTTTGCCTTGTGGCTATTGTAATAGTTTTAAGAGTAGACGTGGCCTTGCAGGATCATAATATAAAATGGTGAGTTGCAGTTCTAACTGCAGTTTGCCTCGTGTAAGACAAGAACGAGAAATTAAATGTGAATATCAACTGCACCACAGTGTCTATAAACACTGTATTGTCTCATAAGGCGATGATGAATAAATCGGTCATAATATTTGTGCTTCTGTCCTCAAACAGGCACTCTGAGTCGAGCTGATGTCATGTTTGAGCTGAGTGTATGTAAAAGCCAAAGCTGATGTTCGCGGAAGTGTTTGACAAAGCATACATGAAAACGCCTTCTCTGATTTTTTTTGTTGTTTGTTTGTTTGTTTGTTTGTTTGTTTGTTTGGGGGTTTTTAAGCGATGTCAGCAGCCATGTGAGGATGGGTTATTTATTTATTGAAGTGTAAAAATTGTTTGGGAGAAGCGAATTGTGTTCTTGAAATGCAGTGACGCAGTTTTGTTGTAAGTTTCTGTGTCTGTTATTTGTGGACGGAGCGATGCAGAAAAACTGATGTGTTTCAGAAGCGGACGAGCTGTTCATAACTTACTGTTGATTTTTAGCCACTCTGTGTCATGTTTCTCAGCTTTCGCCACTGCTGAAGTAATTGCTGTGTGTGTTGCCCTCAGCACCCAACTCGCTGAGTTTCTGTCTCACTAACCAGAAGACGTTTGCTGCGCTTATGCCATTGTTAAAGAACACAAGTGAATCAAGCTTATGCCAACCTACAGTATAGTTCATGATAGGATGATGCGATCGCAACATATTAAACTTAGTATTTACCTCACATTACATCACTGTCTTCCATAGCTCTCCAATCATACTCACTTAGGCGCTCTGGTCAGCTGCCGGCGGCCAAACCAGAGATTGATCTTGCCATCGATGATGACTGTATTTCTGAGATTTCTGATTGTTTTGAAGAAGAATCAGAAAATGTTTTATATCAGAATTTAAAGATGCTTTAATAAATTATTGTATTTCAAAAGCTGTTTGAATCTTGTCTTTTATCATATCTACCTGACAACATATTGACATGACAACATTTACACTGTAAGGTAAAGACCCACTCTCTATGAGTAAACTCTTTCCTGATGGTGGGAGGGAAAAACTCCCTATGAACAGGAGGGAACCTTCAGCAGAACCAGGCTTGGGGAGGGCAGCAAACTGCCATGGCCAGTTGGGGGGGGGGGATAAAACGGCACACGGAAATGAAACAAAACACAAACCAAAGAAAAGACGAGACTTTATGACATGAAAATATTGCAAAACGCTACCACATCTCACTTAAGGTCCCGCTACAGCATTTTAATCAGGTTGAGCTCAGGACTTTTCTGGGCCATTGCAACACCCTGATCCTTTTCTCTTTCAGCTGTTCTCTTGCGGATTTTTTAATGTGCTTGGGAACATTGTCCTGCTCTGTAGCACACAGATGGCCTCAAATTTGACCCTAGAATACTTTACAGACGAGTTCACGGTCGAATAAATGACTGCAAGGTGCCCAGATGCCGTGGCTGCAAAACACACCCAAATCATCACCATTCCACCATCATGCTTGACAGCTGGTATGAGATGTTTGTGCTGATATGCTGTATTTGGTTTTCAAGTAACGTGGTGCTGGGCATTATGACCAGTCATCTCCACTTTAATCTCGTCTGTTTTGAAGGCATTGCGCCAGAAGTCTTGTGGTCTGTTCGGATGCAACTTTGCAAAGCTAAGCTGTGGTGCCATGTGCTTTTAAAAGAGAGGATACTTTCTCCTGGCATCCTTCCAGACAAGCCATACTTGTTCGGTCTTTTTCCAATTGTATTGCCATGAACTTTAAAATTTAACATGCTAACCGAGGCCTGTCAAGTCGGAGATGTAGCTCTTAGGATTTTTGCAGTTTCTTTGAGGATTACACAGTCTGATCTTGGAGTGACTTTAGTGGCACCGGAAGATTGGCAATCGTCTTGAACATTTTCCACTTGAGAATAACATTTTGTAGAATGATGAACTTTAAATTGCTTGGAAATGGTCTAATAACCTTCCCCAGATTGCTACTCTAAGATCAATACTGATTTCTTTCCTGCTTCCACTGTGTTAATACACACCTGAGAGCAGCAAACTGCCAAAAGTAATGCTTTTATAGAGGTGCTCACACTTGCTGGTGATCAGCTAATCCTTAGTAGAACCTGATAGATAGATGGGACTGCTGCTGGTTGGTAGTGCTGGGGTCAGTAAAGTCATATTAAAGTCCGTAATTATATACCATAAATTATTTTCTGCTTGTATTTTTGTTTTATAAACTCAAATCTGCAAAGTTTTAAAAGATAAGGGAAGACAGGAAATACTTTATTTATCCCAATGACAGCGAAATCACGGTGTTACAACAGCAGAATAGCTTGGAAAGGCACAAAATTAATCTAAAGAAGATAGAAAACACAACAAAACCCCAATAAAGCTCACTAAAACGTCAATATTATACTATAAGAAGCTTGAATCTAGAATGAATGCAAGCATTGTGGTAAAGATTTTCCATGTCTGTCAGATACGGAGTATAAATAATATAAGTGTTTTTTCCTGATATGTGCTGAGTCTCAGAGAGCTAATGAGCACAGTGCGTCCTTACTCTCCGCTCTCCCTCCCAATAATAAAACATGTTTTTCAATGAGATGTGTCACCCTGCAGCTGCTTGATGACACCAGCGTCAGGAGTTCGTGACGTCACCGCTAGTAAACCAGGGGTTCAGCTTCACTCCTCTCGAGCCTTTCTGTTTTTTCCATGCAGTCCAGCGCTCGTGTCACCATGTACAGCCCGTCCGCCTTTGTTTTTGTCCTAATTTCCTGCGGTATTATTACAGTTACAGCGCAAGCACCGACTCCTGCTCCGGCGGACAGTAAGTTTGTTTTTCTTGTATGTGTTAGTGCAGCGCTTTGTTTTGGAGTGCCAGAGACGGGTCAGGAGGCAGTCACATGACATCTACACAGTGGACTTATCGTGATCGTAGAAGCAAATGTAAAGATAATTCTCAGTGGCTTTATACATATTCTTGTAGTATTCACACACACACACACACACACAAACACAAAAGAAAAAGTTTCTTTTGCCTGCCTCAGTTAGGTTAACGTTACTTCTTTTGTTGCAGTGATCCTTAATATGTCACAGAAAGTTAAATTCTCTCAGGGTTATATTAGTTTACTTCTTGTAGGTGTGTGTCATAGCTTTTCTCTGTTTCAGCTCCCTGTGCCTTGAAATCCAACACCACTTGTGATGAATGCTTGCAGAATGTGACAGTAAGTTTCCTGCAGTTCAGCCAAAAACATATCCTGTAAATGTTTGCCATAAAAAGGGGAAGTTTATAAGATAAAATGTAACTGTTTATGACTGTGTTTGTTGCAGTGCCTGTGGTGCATAACGACCAAAAAATGCATCGAATACCCGGTGAAGAGCATCCTGCCCTCCAACAGCGTTTGTCCACTGAATGATGCACGTTGGGGGCTATGCTGGCGTAAGACTGGCACACACACTTGTTACTATTATTATTTAATGCGTGATGTTTGCATGGGGGAAATATATTTTTTTACATTGTCCAGGAAAGCTTCTCAGTTGTGATGACTTTCTCATTTTCTTGCTGGACGGTAAAATGAATATATGAGTTTGGACTTTGAGTTCAGTTTGAAGATCTTACTGCAGCTGTAAGTTGTCTGTAAAATACATTTATGACATTTTAGACTTTGAACAAATAAGTGAAAAAAAAAGCCCAAACTGCAAGATTAACCAGTAAGAAAAATAATTTGTAATGTACCATGTCAGCCAAGAAAGAAAAACTTATAAGTCTGCGTTTTTCCCCTCTTTTGTGGTGCAGGTCTTCTTCATAAATCATAATCATCTTCTGAGTAAAATACATTAGCATCTTTTCCACTTAGTAGTTCATTGCTATGTTTACTTAATGATAAGATTTGCTCATGCAAGCTGGCGTTTTTTTTACGCTGTCCTTGTGTCCACGTTTGATTTACAGTCAACTTCCAGATATTGATCATCACTGTGTCGGTGCTGGCTGGTATCATCATCATCGCTATTCTTGTTTGCTGCTTCTGCTGCTGCAAGTGTGAAAAAATTGGGTAAGCATTAAGTCACATGAAGTGCTCACTGTTAAATCTGGATCAAAATGTAAGCAGAAGCAGGAGGAGGAGGACGAGGAGGACGAGGAGGACGAGGAGGATGGGAACACAATGGGTTGTTATTCTGTGAGGCTAGGCTGATACGGCTATCTCCAGAAGGCTGCCAGAATTTGTGGCTGCAGTAACTTTGGTCTTTCTGATTTTATAACTGCCTTCAATTTTGTTGCTCTGTAAATGTATAAAGCTAAAAGCAAATGCTCATATTTGATATATAATATAAATGTCTATGTGCAGATACATAAAGGTGGTGAATTGATGTAAACAAAAATGTCTTTTTAATAGGAGAAAGAGAGAAGACATGCAGATGGAGCGACAAACTCGGCTGAGGAAGGACCGCCAGAAAGCGAGGTGAATGTCTGTGGAGTATGTGTTTTAACTTAAATCTTCACGCATATAACACAATTTCAGAGTGTCTGATTAACTGAAACCTTACTACTGTGCCTGACTCAGATGGGCAAAATATTAAGTTCTGTGTAAGGTCTTGAGTAAGTTGATCCATATACTGTAGTATAAAGGACCCAAGGCACGCAAAGGTTTTATTTACAATGTTATTGAATTTTCCTGCTTGTGCAGCTTTCCACCTGCCTCACTCCAGTGCAGCACACAGCTCTCTCATCAACTCCTGGCATCCTGCTCATATAGGGGAGGCATGATTAAGTAATAGAGATCAGCTGTGTGGGTCAGCCTCCTCTGACGCCACACCCTGATAATGATAATGAAATAAATCTAGTTAGGCTCTTTGCTCTTTTTGGAGCAAAGGCCATCAAAAACCCATGCCAGGTGCTTCACAGCCTTCCCCTGTTTCTTTTTCTTCATGGGCTCCAGGCCAGCAACTGTCTTGTGATGTTGGGCATGCCCAGGACATCTCTACCTTCTCAGGCTCTCTTCTTCCACGGTCCATCGCTCTTTCTGTTGCTGCAGGTTGATGTTGCTCATTTTTTATGGCCACTAGAGGCCATAAAAGTCCACGAAAGCTTTTGTAGCTCTCCATGTCTGCTTCGCACAGAAGCAGAGACTCTACATTTTTCATAACTATACAGTTATGAAACATGAAGATTGTTCACAAAGTCTCCCAGATTATTAATTAGTCATCTAAGTCTTAAACCGAATTTAACATTTATCCTTTTAATGGACATGAACATTCACAGGTTATTTGTACAATCAATCTCAACTATCAAGTTTTAGCCATTAAACATAGAATTAATGTTACTTTAGGCTGAAGTATATGTTACCACAAACCTAACCAGTGACGTAAACACTGGCATGTGAAACTTTTAAGGTAATCGTGTGCAGTGTTGGTCAAGTTACTTGAAAAAAGTAATCAGTAACTAATTACTGATTACTTCCCCCAAAAAGTAATCCCATTACTTTACTGATTACTTATTTTCAAAAGTAATTAATTAATTAGTTACTTAGTTACTTTTTAAAAACACGATTTACAACCTGAAGAGGTGATAAAGCGATAGATCTGTCAGCCCAATTCTACTTTTTCTACATAATCCATCATACAAAATGTAATCAAATGGAAAAGTCCCTTTTTAAAACTTTTTTATTAGTTTTAATCTTTTAACTTTATGCATCAAGCAAAAATTAAATTATATGCACCATTCTCTGACTTGAAGAAATTAGTTTAACATTTAAACCTATTTTCTACACATTCCAGCACATAAAATAAAATATTTTTTGAGAGTGTTTACACTCACTCTTTCAAATAGATGCAAGTAAAACACAGCAGAAAATAAATAAAGTCAAAGACTCAGTGGTCCTGTTGCTCTATTTTTACCTGTAAAGCAGGACTGCGGTAGGCGGAGGTTTACCCTGGTGCAGGTGTGCCGCGGTCAGTTGAAGAATCCGCGAGTTTCTCTGTGAATTTCCCATTACATGGTAGCGCACTGGGTGCTTGCTTAGAAGTTTAGGGGATTTTTTTGCTGTAAAATAAAGTTTTCTTCCCATGCACAACGGACACTAATGTTTTTGTCACTTTTTATGGAATCAAACTCAAAGTAAGGTCGGTACTTCCACGCTTTAAACGCTGCATGCTCATACTCTCTCCCACAATCGATATATGATCCATTGTTGATCTGCACACAGCTGTTGTCACTAACGGGCACTGCTTATGTCACCGTTGTGAGACATTCTCGCAAAAAATCACGGTTTTAGTAACGCAGTAACGCAGCGTTCCTACGGGAAAGTAACGGTAATCTAATTACTGTTTTTGCAATAGTAATTCCTTACTTTACTCGTTACTTGAAAAAAGTAATCAGAAGTAACGCGTTACTGCCCATCTCTGATCGTGTGTAAAAATCGAACTCATCCATAAGGAACTAAATGTGTTACCTTATTATGCGGCATAAAATCATTGATGTTACATCAAAAATAAGAAACATAATGTCAGGTGTTTATTGTTGAGATTGAAAATGAATTTAACTTCATTAGATAAACAGCAGGCTGATCTCATTCCCGGGGTGCTGGTTCATTTTGCTCCTGGACACCATGCTGGAAAAGTAAATATTCTGGGAATCCAGCGCTACTGTTTGGCTTTGTGTTTCATCACAACTGTTATAATTGAATTAGACTAATTGGACGGTGCCAAAAAAGAGCAAAAAAGATTGACAGGCAGGAAAGGGGTTTTTTTTCTGTGAAAATTTTGCTTTCTACTTCATAAACTAAAATAAGTAAATAAGTGTCATGTGACAGTGTCAGCGTCCTCTGTTGCCTAACAATTTGTCTTTGTTTCCCTCTCAGGAGGTCAGAAATGCAGATGAGGCACGATGAAATCAGGCACAAATACGGTGAGACTAATTCCTTTTTCTGTGTGGCTTGAACGGGTTATGAAATGTAAAGTTTGATTGTCAGAGAGGTTTGTTTTCAAAGTGCTCAGTTTGTATGCGGAGTGATCAAACAGCAGCAAAATAGAAAAAAATTAATAAACCACAACACTATGATGAGATAGATTAAGGAACAGATAAAGATAATGGAATCTGAGCAGAAGAAAACAAAATGTGAAAATTAAAAAAATCCATTTACACAAACAGGGCGGAAAAAACTATCATTGAGTGCCATCTACTGGAGAAATACTGTACTGCACATATTTGATAAACTACAATTCAGTGTCAAAAGACTTAGATTTTAAATTACATTAATGAAATGTAAACCAAACTTCCCTGAATAATTTATATTTTGGACTCAGTTTTATTGATTACACATCCTTCTTTTCAATTATTCTTCTCAGGTATGTCGAAGGATAACCCATACGCCCGTATGGATGATCATTGAGAAGCAGCCGTTCGTTAAGTTGATCCTATTGAAGCCAGTAACACGGAGATACAACCTACAAGGAGCTCATGATAAACTGTGACTGTCTGATTGATTTCAGCGCGACAGTGTTTTCAGAATACTCTTAGCCTGATGCTGCACCGTTTTGCTTGATTAATATTTCTTATGCATTAATTTCAATTTAATTTGAAAAAGCAAGCATCCCCAGTTTAGTTTGTAACAGTCCAAAGCTGACGAGTGCTGTGGTGCTTCTTCTGTAACAAGCAGTTTCACTTTCATACTACAGTTACAATATTCTCGATTTGACTCATCCATGTCTGCAGCTCAACACTTCTTTTTCTTTAAATAGTTCATGTAACATATTTGTCCTTTTCTCCATTTTTATTGCATTCCAGAATTATTTTCGTTTTTTATTGAACAAAAGAAAATGCATGTTTTTGAACTGCATCTGAATCATCTGCCAATAAAAAATAAATAAATAAATAAAAATCATACATTTTTTTAGTTTTATTTTTTCCCTCCGTCTCTCTCACACATGCTCTTTTATGTTTTGGCCTATGAACAAATCAAATTTCAAAATATTTTTAATAAGTTAATTTTCCAAAATATCCCAACTGACAGTGGAAATTAAGCAATCTAAGAATGTTTCAGTTCCTGAGAATAATATTCTGCTCACTTGTTTGGTCTTCTGGTCCAGCCCCACCATGACAATAGCAAAACGGATAATACGTTTTGGGGTGATTCATCACTCATTTTTGTAATTTTGGCTCTTATACACCACCTCTGTGGATTTTGATTACAGACATTTTTCTATACAGTCCCAAATTTCTGTACAAATTAATCTTGGTTTCATCTGCCCAAATAATTTTTTTCCAGAACTGTGTAGGCTGTTTTAGAATCTTTCTGGCAAAGTCTACTCTGGATTTCTTGTTCTTGACTGTAACCAGTGGCTTGCACCTTAAACTAAATCCTCTTTCTTTACGTTCATGAAGGCGTGTCTTGATTGACAATAATACACGTCCCTCCTCAGGAGCATTCTTGACTTAGCTGGATGTTGTGGAGGTGTTTTTCTTATCCATGGAAAGAATTCTGTAATCATGCACTTTAGTCCTTTTCAGAGTTTTTGATAACTCTCTGATATGTTTATTTGTAATCTTGAATCTCAAAGCTGACAAAACAGTTTATGCAACACTTTGCAAAATCACTGCTCATCCATGATATAATAACAAGAAAAGGTGTGACTATCCAAAAACTTAAAGACCTAAGTGTATATGGCAGATCTCTAAAGATTAATAAAATAAAAAATAAAACTTTTGGATTCAAGGGATAAATAATAACGAGTCTATGTAATTACTATGGTAATGAGATGAGTGTGGCCAGCTTCCATGGTAAATTAGCTGCCATTTGAAAGCTTCTGTCCTGAGCTCCCGCGTTTTCTTTGATCGGGGCCCTTTTGTTTCCCCTATGTCACGGGAGTGCGCAAATTAGCGGACGCTCACGTATCCGCGGCCCCGACGAAAAATGGATCACGTGACGTTTTTGGTCGAATTACATTTTAAATATCACTGCGCGCTCCCTCGCCAAACGAAAGAGCCGGAGGAGCTGATAAACCGCTTCACCATTATCAGCCGGAGTCCACGTTACTCTTAAATACCGGAGGAAATAGCAGAATGTCTGAAGAAAAGCCAAAGGTCGGTGCCGCGCTCCTACAGAGACACATCTGGGTCATGTTCATCTTTAGGTGCTCATTATGCCCGCTGCAAGCAGCCGTTAGCATGTTCTGCTAAGCTAGTGCTGCTTAAAGGCTGCAGTTTCCTAGTTTGAGCGGGTAGACGGGGGAAACAAAGGTTGCTCAATTTGCGGATATTTTGGCTTTAAGCTCAGTTTGTGCCTATCCTGTTCTGTATCTTCCATATCCAGCCTCCTGCCTATCGGCATACCTTTCAGTTAAACTATGTTTGCTAATGTCGGTAACAGAGAGTGCTAGCGAAATGAATGGCTTGTTTTTTTTCCCTTTACTGTTTGCGCCATTGTGGCTTTCTGCGCCAGTTTGAACACGGACTAGCCTGCTATGCTAACGCTGGGAGAAGGCGAAAGGAAGTGTGTATGCGTGCGGGTTTTGGGTTTGAAACCTACCTCCTCCGTTATCACGCTTTCTTGTAAACGTAGTTGGCTAACTTAGGTTGGCTGCTACTTTGAACTAATCGGGGCTTACTCCCGGACGCTTCTGTTGGTGACCTTTTTGCTTTTGTTGCAGGAAGGAGTGAAGACGGAGAACGACCACATTAACCTCAAGGTAGCTGGTCAGGATGGCTCGGTTGTACAGTTCAAAATTAAAAGGCACACTCCATTAAGCAAGCTAATGAAGGCATACTGCGAAAGACAGGTATGGGGCCCTTTGAGCTTTTTTGCTCATATTATTCCGTATTACCTTGTAAATGATTAACTAGATGCAGAATCTAAGAGAAAATTCCTTTCTGTGTCTTCCAGGGATTGTCGATTCGGCAGATAAGGTTTAGGTTTGATGGACAACCAATTAATGAAACGGACACACCTGCACAGGTTGGTAAAATACTAAAGGCCCAGTTCATTATGGAGGTTTGAAGATGCAAAATAGCATTGCCCTTGTTTTCTTTAACTAGAAAGTCTTTTATGCCAGCACAACAAGTACAGCCTTCAGGCCAAGTTGTACATCTCAGCTTCTCCAGAAAATGCCCAATCACAACCTCAAAGTGAAGACTTACAGCTATAAATCATAAAGTTAATGCATTTGGTTGGATATTTGTAATGTTGTCATTAAAGTGATGCAAAATGGCATGTAACAGCCAAATCAGAGGATAAGATCTACTTGTCCTCTTGTATTTTTATGCGTAATGAAAAGATATTCAGCGTTGGATATCAGTTTTATACGTTTATATAGTGTGAAGCATAAGACCACTTTTTTTTCTGCTCTGTGTTTAGCTACTTTATAGTTGCAACACTGAAATAGTACAGGGCTTAACAAATATTTTGAATGTAAAGTAAACCAAAGTCAAATTCTTTGTTTGTTGCTCAAACTTGGCAAAATAAGTAAAGATAAAGATGTAAAACCTTTTTAATCAGTAATATTTAGAATGCTAAAAAATTAGGAAAAAATAATAAATCAGTAATAAATGTGGATTTATTTATTTGCCTGATAAATAAAAATATAATTTTTAGTTTTAAGCAACTTTTTTGACATTTAAAAGAAAGAAAAGGAAGATGTTTCTGGCGCTACTCTGGGTTCTCTTCCCAGTTGGGCATGCCTTGCAAAGAGAGGACTTAACCACCTCGATTGGCTCCTTTTGTAGGAGGAGTGGTTCTACTCCAGAGATCCTTTCAGATTTCGGTGTTCCTTGCCTTATCTTTAAAGCATGATTTAGACTTCTGTGGGAAATCTACATCGTTACTTATGACGTAACTGAAAATCCCTATTAACCCTATGCTGTAACCTTCCAAGTAGGGATGGGTATCGTTTAGGTTTTATCCGATACCGGTGCCAAATCGGTACTTTTGAAACGGTGCCGGTGCTCAAACCGGTGCTTAAAGAATGGAGAACACAAAATTGGTCCAAAAACCTCTCATGTTCAGCTCTTTTTTTGTAAAAAGATAACAATGTTAGCCTTTTCTGCAGCTATGGGGCATATATGGTATCACTCTTGGCTGGAAGCAGTGCTTAAACAATGGAAAAAACACAAACTTTGTCCTAAACCTCTCATGTTTAACTGTTTTCCACTTTTTCTTTGGTTATTTTAGCCTTTTTGTCCAGGTTGAAGGGAGTATCTGCCATCAAACAAGAGGACAGCCGCATGTAGCTATGATGATGTTTGCTAGTTCACCTTACATGCATTAATGTAATAACGTGGTTAGCCTACTCAACGTAAATTACACACGAACAACATTAAGCTACTCACGCAGAGAAGAATGGCTGCTGCTGCCATCATCATCCGTCATCATTTCTGCTACACTGGCAGGGCTAGGGGCCAGGACTCTCCTTTTCGTGTTTTTGGGGGATGTTGCATAACAGGCAACCCACCCGCAGTAGATGCGCTCGGTGTGAGGTCTCGCAGCAAGCTATCAAATACGGCGCATTTCTGGGCTTTAAAAAACCCCCGCTATGCGTCGCCAGGTGTTTCATCGGATTTGAGGTGTTACCTCCTTTGACAGTATCACAGTATCAGCTTAAAGCACTTGTTGCTGCTGAGTTTGCATATTTTGCTGTGAAGTACAACCAGACTTTTGACCGCTTCGCCTTGGACATTTTTAATCTGTAGCTCTGCTCTAAAAGAACGTACGTACCTGGGCCCGCCTACTATCCTCGGAAACGTAAAATGATTGGCTAGAATCTAAAGTGTATCACAGCTCAGGAAAAAAAGCACCGAAATGTGCGCTGCCTTTCGGTCTGGTTACTACTGTTTGTCAGAATGATGGCACCGGACACCGGTACCCATCCCTACTTCCAAGCCATTCAGTTACTTCGTGGTGCATCAACCATACATGTAGTTACATTTGTCAGGAGGTTCACATCAAGCTACTTGGGAAGTTACTGGTAGGATCTAAAGGTTCCGGTTACGACGTAGATTTCCCCCAGAAGTCTAGATCATATATCTGAGCTTCTGTACTGGAATATCATCAAAATGACTGTAAAATCCTAAATGACTGTACACACATGTCTTTAGCTTAGCTGCGGCACAACGTGCCAGTTTGCAAAAGTCGAGAGGCGGACGACCAGTCAAGGCGCTACAAATTCTGTGGTTGTGCATCAGGCAATGTGACGTCAAACTGTGCACACACCACCCATGACGGAGGGTGTGTGGTGAACATGAAAACGCCATAAATCAGGCCTAAAGCTGAGCCCAGCCACCCTACAGAGGAAACTCATTTCTGCCACTTGTATTTGTGACCTTGTTCTTTCAGTCACTACCCCGTATTTCATAGCCACAGGTTAGGGATGGCATGTAGATGGACTAGTAAATTGAAAGCTCCTTTCAGCTTAGCCCATTTCTTTATTAATGGGCCAGCACAAGCGCATATTACTCCTGACGTCACACCAGTCGAGCAGTCCAACTCAGGCTTCACCTTCCCATCACTTGTGAATAAGATCCCAAGATACTTGAACTCTGCTTGAGGCAGCTTGTCTTCCCTAACCTAGAGCGAGCGTTCAACACATTTTTAAATTTTTGTTTTAAATTGGCGATGCTGTCAGTTCTAAATTTTCTTTCCTGAAAGACTTCCAGCCTTCTGTTAATAATTGTGGTTGAGTAAAGCTCATACTTTCTCACAAACCATTTGCTTTTTGCCACTGGACTGACAAAAAGCAGAATGAAAGTCCAAAACGCTCAGTGCAGATTTGAGAAAGGGAATCCTATATTTGTGTATGTGACAAATTCCTGAACAGCTGCACATTACAAGACCATCGGTTCAAATGGTCGACAAGTTAGCCAAAGTCTGAAAAGACCAAAGAGGTTGGCTGAATGGAAGCTGGTTTGGATGGTGTGAACCCATCAAGGCATAGACCCATCATGAACTGGAAGCCGCTGGACCATTGGAGACACTCATGAGTTTGTATTGCTGTAGACTGAGGCTGCCATCCAAAAAGGACATGCAAAGCTAAACAAAAGCTTTCTGCTGACCACATGCACAAATGTTTTCCAGGCGAATGTTAATCGGATTAGACGAAACTGTTTCTGAGCAGAATTACCTGAAGTATGTCTGGAGGAGACATCCTTCAGACATAAACAAAGGAACTGTTACTAGCTGTTCCACATGCAGGTTGTAGCATGTTGATCTGGAACTGTTTAGCTACCAGTGGAGCTGGTACATTGAACAGACTGGATGTTGTATCTACCTCAGGATGGTTCAGTAGAAATCATTTCAAAGTGCAACAACCTCAAACCTATCAAAAAAAAAAAGTGGAATTATGGTAAAAGTCCAGTGTCTGCAGTGACCTTTCGAGGAAACATTGTCCAATATTCGTTGTGCTTTACACATACAGGGTACAAAATACATGTAAATTTTGTTTATTTCAGAAAGCTCTTTTTGTGCACCAAATTGTCAGTGTTCATTTTAACTCTAATAATATATATCACACCTCAGGGATAAGACAGACAAACAAAACAGTCCTAACATGGTAATTTAAAAGTGGTAATTTAGGCAGGGAAACCTGCCTACATGATATTATTAGCATTACTGAAAACTTCCTGTCAAGACATGGTCTGAGAGACTAATGTGCACGTGTCTTTGTTGCAGCTGGAGATGGAGGATGAAGACACTATTGATGTATTTCAGCAACAGACGGGAGGAGTCTGTTAAGTGGAAAGAGTCAACAATTTTTTGTTTTGTTTTGTTTCTCCTTTTCAATTCAGTTTTCTTTTTCTATTAGGTTTATCGACTGCGCTTCCCTAAATGAAAGACTTCACACAACAAAAAATAAAAAGGATAATAATGATCATTTGGGGCCAAATACCGACTTTGAGATTAGGTAACTTAATGTTTTTATTCACCAAAAACCGATTTGAAATTCATAAGGACAGAGTAAATCTCATATTATGGCTTGTAATGACGGGACCATTGTGGGGTTTTTGTGATGTTCAGCTGTCTGAGTAAGCTAAATGACATGCTTTCTTTTCTGTTTCTTGATATTTGTTTAATTTTTTTCCAGATAATGGTAAGAATTCATATTCAGGATGGACTTGACTATTTAAATATTCATGTACTTATGAGGAATGCTGCTGGGATAGTCAGTAGTGATCTGTTCATAGATGGGAGATTTTGTGACATTATTCTCATGTAGATTTTAGTCGCGTTTTTAAAAGAACATTTAGAAATAATCTGTCCATGCACAGTTTATCTTCAACAGGAGAAAAACTTGTTCTTGGAAAGCGTCATTATGGATGGTTTACCTCAATACTGTTACCTTCAAAGTGGATTTATCTGACTGGTAGTACAGTAAGGTTCTTGGACCAAAAATGCTAAATGAAAAGGTTTCTTTTTATAAAAGGGTTTGACTAATATAAAAATGTAGATGTAAAAGTTATTGTAACTCAGTGGTTGGTGGTATTGCACAGCAGAAAAACGGTTGTTTTCATGTGTAAAGTTGATTTTATGCCTGTCCAGGACTTTAAAAGGGGAAAAACTCCTCACCTTTTATCAGAGACATTTTATCTCATCCAAGAATAAGTATTTCACTCATTGTATACATACATACATACATGACATGTTGCCAATTTGAATACGTTTGTAAAAAGTCTATCCAAACATTAACGTTGTTTTATGCTTGTGTGTTGATGGAACCTTTTTTGTTCTTGTTCATTTTCACCTGCGTTTCAAATTTAAACATTTTAGATTTGCATGGTGATGTTGGCAAATGTTCTTTTTCTTTAATTATTTTTTTTTGTCCTTATACTGTACACAATAAATATAGTTTGATACTCAGCTGCCTGAACCCTGTTGGCTTTCATTTGTGTCAGAGTACTGTAAAGTCTTTAGTTGCCAGTGCAGAGCGGGTGTAAAATATTTACATCTTTGGCATAAACGGGAACTCATTTAAAATAGCGGGCAAAGAAACGTGCCTGATTTTCTAAATACAATGATGTGTTGGGGTTTGTTTTTTTTTTTTTTTTTTTTTTTAAATGTATATATCTGTGGTTCTTCCTCGTCAAACTACATGTGAAAATAAGTATCCTGGACACTGGTTATGATGGGAACTCACGGGAAGTAAAGGTTATGTTAGGTCATCGTAGTCTAAGGAGCTTGGAAAGACTTCACAAGGCCAGGTCAAAGAAATCTGCCAGCATGATTCTTTGGGCTTAAATTCTAAGAAAGAAATATGAAAATTTACAGAAACCTCTGGTAGCTCATTACCCACTCTACTGTAATAAGCTTTTACTATTTAAAAATAAATAAATAAAAAATAAATACTACTTTTAAAAAACTTACATTTAATGTTTTGTTTTGTTTTTCTCATGCGGACCCACCATAACAATAGAATTTTCTATTGTAGATCGGGGGGGGTGAATAGAAATTATTTACTTTGGTGTTGTCTGCATGTCAGTAGGAAAAGCTGTTAAACTTAAATATAGTCAAGTCCCAAAACTGCCCTCCTTAAGTGGCCACTTTTTCATATATATATATATA